GTGTTTGTGGTCACCTCCTTTGGGTTAAGACTAGCCTAAAATTTGAAGTTAACATACAGTTTAGGAGATAAATATACAATATTTTCCTGAACACTGAAGTGTTCAAATGGTCTTTAATTCATTTCCATATGATAGAGGTAAACTCTCTTTGGATAAACCTAGAGTTAAAGTGATGATTAAGACTGAGAAACAGTGGAAAATATTTTTATTGCTGAGAGTTGCTGAAGTAATATACAGGCTGGTACTGGTAGCACCAAATCAGCCCCAGTTTGGTCGTAAGACAGCAAAGATCATCCATCCAAGCACTGGAGACCTGTGTTCATTTTTCATAGGGTATGCCATGCAAAAATAAAGGCTTGTGCTGACAATGAACTGAATCACAGAATCACAGAACCACAGAATGGCAGGGGCTGGAAGGGACCTCTGTGGATCATCTAGTCCAACCCCCCTGCCAAAGCAGGGTCACCTACAGCAGGCTGCATAGGACCGCATCCAGGCGGGTCTTGAATATCTCCAGAGAAGGAGACTCCACAACCTCCCTGGGCAGCCTGTTCCAGTGCTCCGTCACCCTCAGAGGGAAGAAGTTCTTCCTCATGTTCAGACGGAACTTCCTCTGCTTCAGTTTGTGCCCGTTGCCCCTTGTCCTGTCGCTGGGCACCACTGAAAAGAGTCTGGCCCCATCCTCCTGACACCCACCCTTCAGATATTTATAAGCATTTATAAGGTTCCCTCTCTTCTTCTCTTCAGGCTGAACAATCCCAGTTCCCTCAGCCTTTCCTCATAAGAGAGATGCTCTAGTCCCCTCATCATCCTCGTAGCCCTCCACTGGACTCTCTCCAGTAGCTCCTCATCTTTCTTGAACTGGGCAGCCCAGAACTGGACACAGTACTCCAGATGAGGCCTCACTAGGGCAGTGTAGAGGGGGAGGAGAACCTTCCTCGACCTGCTGGCCACACTTCTCTTGATGCACCCCAGGACACTATTGGCCTTCTTGGCAACCAGGGACCACTACTGGCTCATGGTTAACTTATCATCCACCAGCACTCCCAGGTCCCTCTCAGCAGACCTAGAACTAGAATCAGTTGCAGAATGGCAAGGTATCACCTATCTGGGATTTAGGCTAGGACTTCCGAGGAATCCTAAGGCTGGAAAGTTGTATCCTAGATTCTGTCAGGACCACCAAAGTAGGAAGAGGTCTGATGCTGGCAGGCATGAAAGGTACAACTGAGGTTTGAGGGGTTACTCCTCGATAGTAGGCATTCTCTTCTTGTGGTATCGTTAGCGTTAGTGATACAGTTGGGTTAGGGGAAAGAATGGGCTGGAGAACTGTATTTATTCATCAATGTTACTGGGATTGCCATGTTAAATTGAAGATGGTAATACAGTAGTAGAATGGTTGTAGTATAGCTTACAGGATATATTTTGATCTGTTAATGGCCAGTGTGACTTCTGGTTTTAGGAAAGACAATGTGTTAGCCTGCCAGAGTAGGATGAAAACTGTACCGTACATGCTTTGGATCACAGAAGTAACAATTCTCGTGTTAAAGCTACAGTTAGTGTTTGAATTAGGAATAGAGCTAAGGTCTGAGAGAGAACTGGATGGAGAACTTTGTGACCATCTCAGTCCTCTAGCGAATATCAGTTAAGGAGGACAATACTAGTGAGATTGTACAGCATACTCACAGAACAGCAGTATCACCTCTTTTAACTTTGAACTATGGTTAGGTTGAAGGCTGGGATTAGGGTGTGAGAGAAACAAGACTGCAGAATCGTGGTTCCAGGACCATCAGGTTTTGCAGTGGCTGTGGTACTGATGACACTTGCGGTTCAGTTTAAGGCTACCAAAAGAATGGCAAGGACTGCTGATATTATATGTGACTCCTGTAGGCGCCACTGTAATAGGACAAGGTTTGGCACACAGAAGAATCTGGTGGGCAGCAGTTTGGGGTGAAGATATATTTTCAGTTCTTGCATGAAGGTAGTGTTGTAGTGCAAGTTAGGTCCATTGCTGTGGGGGCTACCTTTCTTAGTTTAAGGCTGTGTGTCATTGGAATCACGTTTGTGCCTTAGGAGAAGAGGACCAGAAAAGGCTTCTTCATTAAAGGAACCTGTAAGGCTGCAAAAATAGTAAGCAGTGAAGCATTGGAACAGGCTGCCCAGGGAAGGGGTGGAGTCACCATCCCTGGAGGTGTTCAAAAAATGTGTAGATATGGCACTTCAGGACATGGTTTAGTAGGCATGGTGGTGGTGGGTTGACAGTTGGACTTGATGATCTTAGAGGTCTTTTCCAACCTTAATGATTCTATGATTCTATGATTCTATGATTAGGGGCATCTGAGGGAAATAAGCTGGGGGGGTGTTATTAAGAAGTGCATCCTGCACCTCAAGTTAATGGAAGACCTCCTGTTGCTGTCAGACCAAAAAGCTAGGTTTTGGGTTTGGGTCTGTCAAAGTCACCAATCTTCCACTTGGGCTGAGAGAGGCAAACTCCTGAATACACCTGCAATTAGTTCTGGGATAGCCAAGTGTTGCTTTTCTGGCCTTAATACAGGAGTTTGTGCAATGACTGCAAAACCAGGCTAGGTCACCGTTCCTACAGATGCCATAAGACATGCAGGAGTGCTGGGCACAGCATGGGAAAGGCAATGGGATGGGAATGGCTGTGTCTGGTTTTGGGTGAAGTGCATCTTTCAGGTCCACAGGGAGCTGAGAAATCAAATGTACTCCTAAGCAGTTTGTGTGCTGCGGTACTCTACTGAGTGCTGACACCTTTAGTTGGGCTAGTATTTAAGTTCAGGTCACTGGGCCAGAGTTTAAGGTTACGATTAGCCCATGGAACAGAAGCGGCTGGAGTGTCAGGTTTAAAACAATGTTCCAGACCAACATGAGAGCCATGCTGGGAGAAATTTGGGGGCAGAGTTAGCTGGCCTAACTGGATTCAGGCCAAGATTAAGGGCTGGTCACAGCCTGAGCTGAAAAGAAACATTTATGTCTGGATCCTGCTAGGGTTGCTAGGCTTCAACCTGAGTTAGTCCTAACATATTAAACCAAATTATTTAATCTGGAGAGTCTGAAGGATCAAGTAGGGTTCAGTGACACCATGGCCTAGTATCGTACAGGCCGTTAGAACTAGGAAAACGACTGCTGAAAAAAATCAAATCGGGTGAAGGTTAGATACGGGGCATGCAGGGCCTAAGTTTGGGGCTAAGTGTTGTCACTATGGTTAATGTTCAGTACCGGAGACGCTGAAGAGCTTTGCGAAAGTCCCTCCTGCAAATGATGCGTTGCTCTTTTTTTTAAGGGAGCAAGGGACTTCACGGTAAGAAGTCTAACAAACAGAGGAAGTAGGAGCAAGAGGAAAAAAGAGACAGCAGTAGTCATCAAGACTTTGGGACCGCAAGGGAATGGTTTAGAAGTCTATCCACATGTGCACATCTGTTTTCCCCAATCTTTAACCTTCCTCCCATCCTTCCTGTCTCCCTGTGAGCCTCCCTTCCCCTGAACTCCCACAGTCCTCTGCCTCTCCAGGTCACACAGACATATTCCTTTCTTCTTGTTCCTTCCCAGTCCCAGCACAGGGCAGAGGCAACAAGAGAAGAGAAACACAAGGCAAGCAGCTTTACCGTTTCTTTTCATCCTGTGCCCAAACCAATAACAAGAACCACAACCACAACCGCCATCACCACCACCGCCGCGGTAATAACGGATGTGCTGCGGCACCACAGCTTTGCTAACCTGGGGAGAGAGGCAAGCGAGGGTGACAGGGGCCTCACCGCAAGCCTTCAGGGAGGGATGGAAGCATCTGAGGACCACCAGCTCACATCAGCTGGCTCTGCCCGCGGTGACCCCACAAGACCCCATCTCCCGGCTCTCCCCGTTTACCCAAACCCGCCTCAGGGTGTGTGGGGGGGCTGGG